TACCAGTATTGCTGTACCAAAATGTAACCCGGCAATGTGGAACAAACTTCAAAATCCCACAAAGGATACAGATACGGAATTTCAATACGTTCAAAATTATACATAATCTGGTGCTAGTTATTACTACAATGATCTCATTGTTGACAGGGCCCTTGGATGACACGACTCGTACAAAGTTTTTGGAATGGATTGCAGATGCAGTTTGGCTCCTTTTCCGTCGTTCAAAATGATTTGTTTCACAGACGTCGGTTTTTCATTCAACCAGATTTCAACACACACTACCGACGTCTGAGGACATTTCTCAAAACAAAGCTTCAAACTTACTACGTGGGGATGACTAGGTAAAAAAAAAATAAAGACATCAACCAGGTAAGAAATTTGGCCATATTTATCTCAGCTGTCTAATTCCAAGCTGGATCGCTATGACCCATACCCATCACACCACCAGTCCAAGACAGGACAAACATTTAGAGGAGACAAAAATTCTTTACCTTTTCGGTGTCCTATAAAACAAAAGCGCGAGGCAGAACAAGGCCACGACAGGTTACGAAAGGCAGCAATAGTTCCTGCAGAGCTTTTAATACTTGCCATACTAATTTGGACAATTCAGCTAGTAATGGTCCCAGAAACCGGAATTATCAGAATTTGCCTTCCAATTTTTCTAGCGGCGGAAAGGTGGGGTGCCATTTTCTTCATAACTGGAATAAAAATACTTTTGATAGGCCTATACTTAATACTGTCAAAGGGGATGAAATTGACGTTTTGGAATTACCTTTAAAATATGCGCCTCTCATGGACTTAATTTATAATCCTCGTGAAATCATCCATTCTGAAATTGCAAAACTGTGTTACAATCTGGAGCAAACGAGGCAATTGATCCACTGCAGGAGAATTCGTCTAAAATTTTCATAAAAAAGATTAAACGTAGGTTGATTTTGAGTCTCCAAAACTTCAGTGGTCATGTAGTAAATCTCAGTGATCATGTAGTCTAACCTCAGTGATCATGTAGTCTAACCTCAGTGATCATGTAGTCTAACCTACATTATTATGTAGTGTAACCTCTTTGATCATGTGGCGTATGATCATTTTAAAATGGAATCTTTAAAATAAGTGTTTAACTTGATGACCAAACATTGCTGGTTTGCCTCAGGAGATTTAAAGGATGCAAACTATCGTGTCAGCGTCTCGCTTTATTATATAAAATATCTGGTGTTTATCTTGTAAGGCCAGCGTTACCAGTTTACTAGACTTCCAGATGGTCTTGCATACGCTCTAAGAATATTTACAAAACTTAAACCAGTTTCTTTCATTCCTTCGGAAAACGTGACACCATGACGTGACTTGCATTGATGAGAGTTTTCTTTTTGGTTATATCAATCAGGCTTGTAAAGCTAACATTCTTAAACCAGTCACGTTGCTCTATGATTTAGGCCTTACAACTTATCAAGAGGAGTATGTTTTGGTACCAACGCAATGCATAATTTTTGTTGATTTTTGTGCTTAATTCACAAGATAATACCGTTTGTTTGACAGCAAATAAAGCAATTAAAGTTGAAGATGTGTTCTACAAATGCTGGTTTTGTTTGATCTGTCAAGAAATACGACGGGATGGTTAACCATAATTTTAGATACCATGTGGACAATCACCTTTCACAGTGATTGCTACGTTATGTTTAACAAGTACTGCGGGTCAATCTGATTAGGTGAAGGAGAGCGGATATCTGATTTTATTCAGATTGTACTGCATGCATCCATGATTCGTTTGTCGTAGTGTAAATGTTGAATGTAGCGTAGGTGTATGTAATCATATGAGGGCCATAAAACTGAAAGAATATATTTCAAACAGACATGAGAAAGTCACGTCCAGATGCTACACACATTTGGATGAGAAACATTATTCTGGCGGGTTAATAAAATACCTCTCCACGTCACCGAGACATTCACTGACACAGACGATAAATATTCTCACATAAAATGCTGCGTGATAATATTGCTACGGAAAAGCATGAATACCTCACCCCCACTCCTTACATGAACAATGAAAGCCATATATACAAGGGCGTATGGCCCATAAAAACTTAATAAATATAAACTAAACTATTTAAATTAAACTATTCTGAGAAACTTAAGAAAAAGAAGGAAAAAGAAAGCTTATCACCAAACTCGGAACACAATATATTAGACTTTGCAATTTGCGTTGATGACTTAAAATCAAATGATTTTTGTCCACTATGAAACTCTTTTCATTAACCAAAAGTAAATGTTTTGACATAACGTCATTTTAATAGAGGGCGATTGCCCGTTTCCTGACAAAGCTAAACACATCGCAGTATTCTTCCACATTAACATGCCATAAACCATTTGGTCAAATTAATTCATACCTTATTATAGGTCTCACAGGACAGTGTTTTGGCAAATTTTAATACGAGGACGACCTAATGCAGAAAAATGATAATAATATTACATTACAGATATAAATAAAAACTAATTAATGATTTTTGCTGAAAGGATGCTTGCAACATTCTGACTGAGGTATTAGGGTTAATTCCTTGTACAACTGGTGGCTTTTATACTAAAACGATACGACCACCAACCCCTCTTTTTACATTCATTTTTGACAGAAAAGAGCTATGTTGAACATTTTCCTGAGACAGGGCAGCTAATAAATCAGTATGTACCTTATTTATCTTTAAAGTTCACTAGTGCTATAACAAATTAACATACCTTTCATCACCCCTCGACGATCTTGATTTTTAGATATTTACTTCTGTAGCAGACACATGTAAATACGTAAGCCAAGTTGGCTGCTCATTTTCAGCCTAAGTTACGAATTTGATCTCCAATGCTAGTCTAACTGACAAGTGGTCACCAACAAGCCAACCCATTTTTAAGCCTAACTTAATGAAAATGTAAATCACATTACAGATTTAGATTGTGTGAATTTATAAATGCCAGGATTGTGATAATTAGGCTCATGCCTTCTACCTTAAAAATTGGGCGGTGTGTGTGTGTGTGTGTGTGTGTGTGTGTGTGTGTGTGTGTGTGTCAAAATACGAAACTATCCAGTGAGACCATACCGTTTCCCTAGCATACAAGCTATTCATGACAATCAAACTACGTACAAATACAAAAATACCAAGCTATTAGTCTCCATGTGCTTCCTTAAGTGACATTTCAGCTACCCCATTTTGCCTTTTCTGCAGTAAAATAAAATTCTGACAAAATGAACAAATAGTGTATGGCACAAAAATTGACGTTTGATATATTTTAATAGCTCATGTGACTATCTGCATAGAAAAGCATATATATATATATATATATATATATATATATATATATATATATATATATATATATATATATATATATATATTTATATATATATATATATATATATATATATATATATATATAATTCTTACTAAAACACCCGATAACTCGGATAATCTGGTCACATTAAAAATGGCAACTATTACCGAATGCATCAGAATTTAGAAATATTATTAAGTGCAATGACCAAAACGTATGGTAAGCTCTTTTAAATTTGACGCCCCCAGAGTGAGGAACAATGACCGAAGAATAATCCCAGATTCAAAAGAATTCAGAAGGCTGGTTCAGACATGGTCAATGACTCTTTGTCAGTGCGTTTTAAGCTTTGCCTTTGTATTTAGCGGTCAGCGGCATTTTAGCTTTGAGGTTACCAAGTTCGCCAAGTGTCTGTGGTTGAAATCCTATTCAGATACTAGTTGCTTATTTTCCCTGATTATTTTGAAGCTTGAATGTCATTTTTTAATGCGCTTGTTTCCTTATATCTCTTTATAAATATGGCCGCTGTGTATACTTTTAAGAAATCCGTATTTTTACATACATACATACATACATACATACATACATACATACATACATACATACATACATACATACATACATACATACATTCTGATATTTTTTACATTGTAAATATGTGTATATGTTTTGGATTTTTAACGTAGCTTTAATAGTTGTTCAGTCATATCGTTACGATGTCTGTAGTGTGACAGTTTATAGTGATGCCTAGCACTGGAGCATCATGCCGCAGACATTTAGCATCATATTGCACCCAGTCACATTATCCTGACATCAGGCCAACCAGTCCAAGCGAGGCAACTGCTAGTACTATTGCTACAAGTCATTGGTATAACTCGGCCTGGGTTTGAACCTGTAAACTCACGCATCAGAAGCGGATACTCTAACCACTCTGCCATCAGATCGGTCCATTGTAAATATGTACAATGCGTGCGAATATTAGCTGTAACATGTGAATAGGATGAAGCTAGATTGGAATTGAATTTAGAGAAGACAAGGCAGTTTCATGAATGAAATGTTTGTTTATATTGTAATTGAAGGATGGACGAATCTGAGACCCTTCCCGTGTGCATATTCCAACAATGGGCTTAACAGAATGGTGCGCACTGAGCTGAACAACTAATATAAGGAAATGCTATCGTTCCTAACTGTAACTAAGCATAACATTCAGCTTCAAGGAATAATAAAGCATGATTGAGCATATGGAACTTATAGACAAATATGTTAGATATATGGTTCTCTCACCATATAGGGTCAATTAGAATTTAAAAACAAATATGAAAAAATGTATGATCGCCATGGACAACTTAGTAAAGGATATATTACTAACTGAACAAGGTGATGATACTGTCATCAAGTGTGATCATCATACAGAACCTGCTCAAAAGTATGACTAATGTTATTCATGAATAGATGTGTGATGTGATTTAGATTTTTAATGTAGCTTTAACAATGTTTCAGTCATATTGCTACGATGTCTGCAGGGTGACAGTTTTAAGTGATGTCTAGCACTGGGATCATGCCGCAAACATGTAGCGTGATGTCCCACTCAGTCACATTATTCTGACACAAGGCTGACCAGTCCTAACACTAATCTCTTAATGCTGAGCGCCTAGCGAGGCAGCTGTTAGTAAAAATTTTAAAAATCTTTGCTATGACTCGGCAGGGGTTGGAACCCACGACCTCCCGCATCCGGGGCGGACGCTCAACCTACTAAGCTACCGGAGCGGTTTCCACAAAAATTTATGTATTACTAATTTTCAGTCGCATGGCGATATTGAATTGTTGATTTCACTCCTGTAGTCATTAAATTATTGATTCAACAGTTGAACATTTGACGCGTGGCGTCCAATTGACTTTCACTAAGTATTTCTCGTCAAATGGTCAAGGAGGATCAAGGAGGTCCCTCCTAGTCTGCAGACAGGTCCCTCGGAAACCTCGCATTCACTGCAGACCCGCTGGTTTCGAAGCTTAGGTCCCTAACTGAGTACCCCGAGCTTACATTACCGTCGACAGCAAATTCCGTATCCGAAAACCACAGCTTTAAATATAATGACTGAGCCGCGTATTACACAGACACAGATAATTGCGAGCACCGCAATATACATTACGCGTGCGAGCACACGAAATTTCTTAGTTAAACATTAAATCATTACATTACAACTCCATTTCAAAGATTATTACTATAATGCTACATTCGTACGTGCATGTGTCCGCCCAGAATAGTCTCGTTTCAGTAGAAGAACTTGAACATTATTCATCATTCAGTGCATGCACGATTAAATTTAATTTGTTATTAAATTAAATTAAGTTATTAAAAATTCGCCAACACGAAACAGACTGTAGTCTTTTTTATAACATGGCTTGTAAGAGGTATAAACCTGTCTAGATAAGTTAGAATACATTCTTAAACATCCAATATATAATAAAATTCCGACACAAAATACGGATATGGAAACAATACAATTATATATTTCACCTTCCTCTACAGCTGAAGATTTCTGGTGTGTCAGGTTTCTGGTGTGTCAGAAGCACACAATACCTGGTCTGGTCCCCGCTTAAGATATTTTACCTCGGATAATTATTGAATAAGCCCTTCGTAAAAGATTTTTTGTGTATATCTTTTTAACATGCTGCAAGATATTTTGCCTTACTAGCTTTTTGCTTGTTCAGGATTCCGTCCATTAAGGTTATTGGTATAGGTCTTTTGAATACAGAATCAATACGTGGTTTGGTTGGGCAGAGCTGTTCAGAAAGCCATTCGCAAAGGTTATTCGTGTACTTTTTTAATACGCGTCAATACCTGATTTGGATTTGCAGATAACGCTGTAGGATATTTTGCCTAACAGGCTAGCCGTCTGTGAAGTGTGAAGATTCCTGTCAAAACGCGTTATATTATGATAAAACAACGACCACTGATCCCACACGGGACTATAACAGTCGCCAAGCTTCCAATGCACATGCGACTATAATTCTGATTACTGGATTACTGGACAGTTTACTCCACAAGTACCCTGTCCGTGATTTGAAAATGCATGGCCTGAGAGGTAATCAGATTTCTCTCTCCAAGGACTTTGCTGGTGCAGCATTGGGTGAACCTAGCTTAGAATTTTGAAGAAGTTCGAGACGAAAATAAATCATCCTCGGGTAACACTTAAGTGTGTGTGTGTGTGTGTGTGTGTGTGTGTGTGTGTGTGTGTGTGTGTGTGATTTAGATTTAGAAAAAAAATCATCTTCATGTAGTACTTAAATGTGTGTGTGTGTGTGTGTGTGTGTGTGTGTGTGTGTGCGTGCATGCGTGATTTAGATTTTTAACGATGCTTTAAGAGTTTTATAGTCATATCACTACGATGTTTGCAGTGTGACATTTTATAGTGATATCTAGCACTGGGACATCATTCCATAAACATGTAGCATAATGTCCCACCCAGTCACATGACAGGCCGACCAGTCCTAACACTAACTTTTTTAATGCTGAGCACCAAGCAAGGCAACTATAAGTACCATTTTTTAAAGTCTTAGGTATGACTCGGCAGGTGATAGAACCTATGACCTCCCGCATCCGAGGCGGACGCTCTAGCCACTAGGCTACCGGAGTCAGGTAACACTTGAATCGGTAGACGAAACCCGAGTACATTTTCATTCTTATATAATGCCTTCATTTTAAATACACAGAGATGCGTGACAACGAGTTGTGTCGTGAGGGTAAAGCAAATATCTCGTCCAAAATATGTTTGTTTATTTTGGTTACGAAGACCACCAACGTTAAACAAAATCTTTTTTTTCTTCTTATATCTTGCGTGTTAACTTTTTCAGTAGATTACCAGTAATAGTGATTTTACAGTAACACTGAATAATTAGCCTGGTTTGTACTTTACATAATTGTTTTTTTGCATTATTTTTTATTAGTGTTGCTTGTATTCCTATTTATGCCGATATTTTGTCTCTTACACCTTACAGAAATAGGAATATAATTTGCTAAAGTTTACAGCACAATTATACATACAGTTTAAAAACCAGTTGAGAGTGATCAAAATTGTTTTTACTCAACTTTTATTCATTAGAAAATCTGAAGATATAATTGATGAGATTGGTGTGGTGTTGGTTTTTACTTCACAATCGTGAATATTGTCTACACACGACCAATTCTGGTTAACCTTGACATGTGCCTCTGCCTGGAAGAGGCCAAACAAAGGGTTTCTGTTTTATTGCTTTTAAGCTATAGTCTATTTCCAAAATATTCTTTAATAAAAACCTGCATTTAAGAACTTTTCCTATTGCTGGAAGGATATAAGTTTGCTACATCCTCGTTTGAAACGTCCAGGTTCTTGACACATTAGCGTACAGTATCTGATAAGGATATCATGCTACGACTGTATGTATGTATGTATGTATGTATGTATGTATGTATGTATGTATGTATGTATGTATGTATGTATGTATGTATGTATGTATGCATGCATGCATGCATGCATGCATGCATGCATGCATGCATGCATGTATGTATGTATGTATGTATGTATGTATGTATGTATGTACGCACGCACACACGTATGTATGTATGCTTTTCTTTTTTTCTTTTAAGTTTGTTTCTTTTTTAAAAATAATTTACTAAGGCTATACCCAAGTGTACAGAAGGGGTCTGACATTGCAATTTAAAATTGACTTTTCAAATTGATTTGGAAGAACAACAAATGTTATCTTCTAAAACTTCTTTCGTATATTGTAATGAGCCTTAGGGTTCCATGCATTTCCTTTCAGGATCCTTTGATTACAAGTACTAAACCAATTACTGGGTACCTCATTTGCATATCAATAATTTGTTGGACAAGGCTAAAAAGTAGTTCAGCCCCTTTTTAATTTTAATTCCATAATTTGAAAGGAAACGGAAATGAATGGACCAAACTGAGAATTAATGCAATTTCATCTTGGTTCTCTTTTCTTTTCTTTCTTTTTTGTATTTAGTTTTATTCCCCCACCCCTTATACTTCACATATGAGTTATTTAGTAAAAAATTTATAGAGAACATATTATCACTCGAACATGTTTACATATAAATTTTCTTATTTTACATTGACATATTGAATGGATCACTTAAGTCCGTACTTTTTCCCATGAGGGCTAGAGAATATTGACTATGCACAATGCACCTTCCCGTTCTGTCGTACGAGGAGATCGATGAAAGCAACATATTTGTAGAGGAATATGTGCGATAATGATATTCCACCTAAAAAGTTCTTGTACTTCAAAAGGATACGACGTGTATTTTGGCCATGTATTTTTTGGGAATTCGCCATGTTTGTCTTTGCTATTATTTGCCCTTAGGAATGGCGCATGGGCGATCGCAGGATATTTTGCATGGAGGTTCAGGATTTTTTTCCGGGGGGGGGGAATCAGTCAGTCACGGACAGGAGGAGAGTTAGTATACGAAGCAGTCTTCAACTAAAGCTAATAATTATTAAGCATTTTGAACAGAATCTTGATACATATTTTCAGTTTCATTTACATGATTAAACTTACACACACACACACACACACACACACATATATATATATATATATATATATATATATATATATATATATATATATATATATATATATATATATATATATATATATATATGCAGGATGATGGGGGGTTCACGTGACCCCCTTGACCCACGATGCAGACGCCTATGGAAAGGCGTGCAATAGCTTTCGTTTGCAGCGTATTTTTGCGTTTGTCTGTTGTCTCGTGGTCCATGTTTGACTTCGTTCAGAGGTGTTTCTTCACAAGATTTTGGCAAAGTTATACTTTAATGGTCTTTGATAGGTAGCGTTTGTTTGGCACTATATAACCAAGATTGCGCACTGATCTACAAAACACTATCAGAACTGTGTAATTTATTACAACAAATTTTTTACGTTGACATATATCTTATCTCCGTTAATTTTGCACATCCTCTTGTTACTGTTTTACTAAACGGTCAGTATAAAATTTCATGGATATTTTTGTAAAAAGAATAACAAGACCTACAGCCTTCTGGAGATAAGAAAGTTCAGGACTGGCAATGAGCAAAATGTATTATTGATCTTACCACCACATCTAAGAACTCACCAATCAAATGTCAAAACCCACTGATACAATAAACTTCCAAGTGCATTTAAGTGAACGTCACAGCAATGACAAATCTAACTCATATTTGTACTTTTGTCAAGAGCGTAGCTTTTGAAACACTTAAACATTTTTATGAATCTTTAATCAGTTATGCATCATGACTAGGCAGTTGTTTCACGTACCATAACTACGCCTCCTACTCAAGGTCAAAGTCCAACGTCACTGGAAGGGAAAAATATAAAACAGTGACCTCTACATATGGTTAGGGACCGACCATTTTAGTTTTAAACAGGAGGGATTTTCTTTCAAGCCAGAATAAATTTAATTTCCTCTATCTGATGATCTTCTTTTTCCACTAATGCAATGGATATAACAAAAATTCTTATATAAATCAGAGGAAAACTATTTTTTTTTCACAATGCCACCCCCCCAAAAAAAATCATTCGGTCCCGTACAATTTTGAACCACTCGACAATATTTTGTCTGATTGGATAGCTACCGCCCGTCTCAAGTTGGGCAGCCCCTCAGACAGTAAAGTGCTGTCCTGCCATAGCCTACCTGTTTCACTGGGTGCGTGAAGCTTAGGGAACATTCTCAACAAGTAGGTCAAAATCACAGCACCAGGCAAGAGCTTTGCTAACAACCGCTACGAGTGGCGACTTGCTGTCAGACAAAGCATTCAAAAAGCCGAAGGGATAAAAGCAAACCTCGCTACAAAGAAAGCCAAGAGGAAGGCGAAACAACAGCCCCAACAAGAATCAACCTTCACCTGCAGCAAGTGCAACAAAGATTGTCACGCAAGGGTCAGACTGTTCAGCTACTCGCGACGGTGCAGATAAGGCACCAAAAAGAGAGAGCTACACCATCGTCTCTCGAAGACGGACGGATGCCACACACACACACACACACACACACACACATATATATATATATATATATATATATATATATATATATATATATATATATATATATATATATATATATATAATTTGGGTACAATGTCTATATTCTCTAGAGTAGGACAAAATATGTCTAGTATATTCTTCACGCCAGTAAAGGATGTATCACCTTGAGCTCGTGGCTAAATTTATTCGCCTGGGATTTTTGCGGTATATAAAGCCACTAGTATTCACTAGTTAAATGCATCATGTGTATATATATATATATATATATATATATATATATATATATATATATATATATATATATATATATATATATATATATATATATATAATCCTGTGTATCAAGCGCATGCATTTAGCATTTAGGGCATGCACCATATTATTATGGATAATACTCCAGATGTTTTCATCAAGCGTCAATTCGTACTCTGAAATTATGCCATGAAACGGGCACGTGTGAAGTAGAGTTCCAGTGAAAATGGTAAAGGTAAAAAGGTAAAACGTTTAGGTACATATCAGTAGCACAGCAATTGCCCAAGCAGACCTTTCAAACTGCAGGGGCAAAGGGCCCAGCATTCCAATCAAACAAATAATTTTGTGGGGGAGAGTGAACATAAAGTTTTGCTATGCCATAATGTTTGGTTGGATACTGAACAGCAAATCTTGTTTATTTTACTTTTTGAGTTTGCCTCATCATGCAAACCTTCTGTGCGGAAGTTCTGCATTATCTCAAAGTCCAAGTCTATGAATGCGTTTCTGAAGCCATTAATTGCTGGTAAAATTTGACAGCCAAGCTTTCATCTTAACATAGTTCTTTAAAACGATGGATGAACTCATATGTCCTTATTCTGAGGTATCCAGTATGAGGATGGGATGTATCCTTCGATCACAGTTTACCCTGACGATTTCGTCTCTTCCACGACAGGGACGAAAGAACAGTTTTTAAGGTTAATTATCATTTTATCGATCATCAGGCTGACTGTTTTGAAGTCATTACAGACGTGGGTAAAAAGTTACAAGTACTTCATCAATTAGTGAAAATATTACAACGTAATCATATTCACATATCTTGGTTGCCAATGACGCTGCTGAAAAAGATGAAGCAAAATTTTTTCCACATGCGTAATGATATCACCATAACGTCTGAGATTAAAATCTCTCCATACATATTATATTTGTTAAGAACGCGTAGAAAATGATATATCAAATATTACAAGAATGATTCAGTATTTGGATGAGAATGCTGTGATCGCAGTTGTCCTAGAAAAATCACGCATGATTCTATGTGATGAATACATCAACAGTGCGGAAGACGATTATGTCGAAGCTAAATATCAATCTAGTGCATAAAATTGCACACCATCGTTTACTTAGTCCTTAGGATCATCGTTTACTTTATTTATTTTGTACTTGTTTACCTTTAATTTATTTTTTAAACTTTTTTGGAATTAACTTATATTCATCAGAGATAAATCCGTGATAATACTATCAACTATCCTCAGTTTGTTAACAATATCACACATTATAAAATTTAGTACCTCGAAAATATGTTTTTCTTCGATTTAATAATTTTCAAATATTTATATGTTGG